TCACAGTAGGCCTATGTATCATGATAAAAAAAGCAACTTTACAGTCTGGAAATACTTTAGGCTATAGCAAATTATTTCACTTTAAGAACCGCTGGTCTACACAGAAGAAAGCCCTGTCTAGACTCTGCCCCAGTAAGCCAGTTTGTTTGACAAAAAAAGATTAAATGTAGTTGCAATAAATGTGTTAAGAATCCATACAACTGTAGCAGTGGAGGACTATTATTCTGCTGCGTGATACTGCGGAAGAACTGATGACGGCACGGTTTGATCTTCGGCTGACCAATCAGCAGAAAGGGGTGTTTAATTCCCGCCCACTTGTAGAAATCCAATATTCAAGCTGTTTATTCATTTTTCCACCCATGAACGAAAAACGAAAATTTAAGATGAATTTTCGTTTTTCAGTTTTTGGGAAAAAAAAAAAAAACGAAAAAGGATCAGTTTTCACATTTTTCTACTTTCAATATTAAATCAAAAAACGAATGATCGAATGATACACGGATTATATGGCATACATAAGAAGTGCAGCCTTCTGCATTTCAATAGAGTAACTGTCATCCAAACTGTTGCCATACTAACAGAGTGCACTGTAATATTGACAACATGACTATCTTGGTTGTAAACAATGACACAAGGACTTTTCATTCTGATGGCACTGATATGTTCAGTGACATAAATACTAACTTTTGAGAGATGAACTAAAAATTTTGAGTAAGATACAGGCTTTTGCAAGTAATCCAGCGTGTGGGGCTATTTGTACGAATTGTTTTGAGAAATGCACATGCTTCTTTGCAAATATTAAGAATGATTCGAGAAATGCACCAAAGCGACTGAGAAAAACTGTAATGATAATAATACTAATAATAATAAAAACTCTATCCAGGGACTGGTTTGATGGGGTGATGTGGGTCAGCTGTGGGGATGCCAGGTGGTCTGAACCGAGACTTTAAAGTGTGCAAAGTGGGTCGCCTCTTCAAATGCTGCAGGAGCTCAGCTGCCTGGCCTCTTGCTCATCTCATTTAAACCCGAGAGAGAGCCTGAGAGATTTGCTGCCTTAGGTAAGGGGGAAGAGGAAGGACAAAGAGAGGGAGAGAAGGTGGGTAGGTATGTGAGAAAGAACCGATGGAAAGCTCAGCTGAAGAGGGGGAGGAGATCAGAGGTCAGATGTGAATTCAACAGAGAACATGGCCTAAAAACCCATACGTTTTGTTTCGGATATATTTGGACTGGGATTTTTTTTTTACTTAGATTAATTTGTAAGAGATGTATATAATGTATATCTTATATATTATCCATTATATTAAGATATTGCTTATATTGTGGAATTTCTTCTTCACATATTTGATATTTAAAGACGTTGGTTGGATAATATAGTGTAAGATTCTGCCCTAAGAAGTTGCTAGTGTGCTTGTTTTATAATGTAAATTAAAAGGCTTATTTTTTTGGCAGATACAAACATTTATATTATATACGCCTAAATTGCACAACAGCCTTAAAGCGCAATTTACTTTGACATAATACAATTATTTTACTTGTAAAACATAAAATCAAAGGGTTAAAAATGTAATTATCACATATCACACTTGCCACCTATAAATTCATAACCACAGTCACAGATACTTTACCCAAGCATTAATATATTTAAATCAGTACAATTTTCTTTTTTTTATAAAATCCTGGAAAATGTCGATGTAGTGTCATACGGTTTAGTGTTTCGATGTGCTTCTTGCACAGCAAGGTTTCATGAAATCTTCCTTTCTAATTTACGTGACAAAGCTTAAATTAAAAGGGGCAACAATCACAATTTTTCGTGATTGAAAGCTATATAATTAATCAAAAACAACACATCAGGTATTATTTGATTTAAGCACGAACCATAAACATTCGATTTTCTCTACCCTTAAAAAATCTAAATAGCCTATAGTCTTTAAAATATATGGACAGAAGTCGTGCTTATTTGACATGGGTGTTAGTGGTTTACATGACACATTGAGCATTTTTAATCAAAATAATCGGCCTAATTTTTAAAGATGATATTGCCGATATCGAGATACATCTCTCGGGAAATGATTGTTTGTTGACTATATTAAGCAAACTTTATTTATAAAGCTTTATGTAAATTGTACATATTAAAGCTTATATTATATAATTTCTATATATGAGTCTATGGCATTTAAGATGTATAATAAACGCAATAAACATGCACTGTGCACACACACACAAGCAAAGAATACATTTGGCGTTCTGCAGCGAAACATCCAAAAGGAGCTGTATAAATTCCAGCAGCTAATCTGCTCATGAAATCCTACGCTAACTTTCTAAAGTTTTACGGACTTTAAACTTCCTTATGCTTTACTTTTTGTAAAGACACGCAGAAAGTAACCTACATTTAATGTGAACCCAAACAACCTCTGTAGTTTTGTTAGCGACAAAGAAAATGAAATGGATTCCTTCTAAAAAAATTAATAAAAGAATAAAAGAATACATTTTAAAAATCGAAAACTTTCAAATCGCAAACTGCAAGGCAGTGATAAGCTAAAGGTCCTCTATTGGCATATTTCGTTTGCACATCATAAGTTTCAAAAGATTGTGTCCCATTTTCATTTCGTTAGATTTTTATTTGAAAGCATTTATGCCATGCACTCCATCTTTATTAGCCTTTTAATTTTTTTAATAAACAAACATGTTAACGTAAATAATGACGAATTTGTCGTTTAGAAATAATGTACCATATTTTGTCTTTTTTAGAACGTATTAAGATAGTATAAAATTGATTCTAAGCACCGAGCTTGGAGGCCTGCAACTCAGTTCGAGTCTTTATAGGGCAAACAAATCTGTTCGCGGAGCTCATAAAGAAACATGTAGAGGCATTAAAACAGTTCCAAAGGCTAATGATTTTATTAACATTCATTTAGACCTTACCTCATTTGAAATCACTGCAGGGAATTCTCCTCAACTTACAGATTTTAATAAACGCGCTTCTATTCAAATGCAATGGCAAACTGGGTTTCCACACTGCCAGAGGCTTTCTGTCGAACTATTAGCATCATTTCAGTCCTTCAATAACATTAATTGCGGGAGGCAGCAGAAGAAAGGCTGTTTAAGTGCTCTGTCACTTGCGTTGGACCTTTCACCTCATCACAGGCTGGAATGCGTCCTCAAGAGCGCCACGGTGCCACATGTACACCTGGAGATTCACCGCGCACAAGCCTCTGGAGGATAAAAAAAGGTGATAAAACAAAGAAAAGTCGTTGTTTTCTGCTTTCCGATCTGGACCTCTCAGCTACAAATATTTAACAACTGATTTATGACTTAATTACGCGCAGAAAATAAACTTTCAATAGGCTAAAGGTGCTTTTTGAGATATCAAAAGTCATGGTTTACATCTTTTAAAATATTAAAGCTAATATAACAAACAAAAATGACAGAGTAGGCAATAAATTCATGTGAGGTTGTTTGTTCTCCTCGTATTTTACGCAAACAATTAAAACCGTACTTTATTGTTTTGGAAGGTCTGTTAAATTGCACAAATCCAGTTTATTTCTGAAGTTAAACGCACCTAAAATGAAGTCATTTCAGGTCTGAGTGTGTTTAATAAAAGTAGATAACCCGTGTCATTTATTTACATCGTTGCAAGAGCTGCGCGCCACGCGCCTCTGACCTTTCCAAATGTTTCATGACATTATATGGAAATCATGCAACTGTTTCAGGACTTGTATTCTTGGTGGTGTTTTAAACATGCTTTATTTTCCATTACCACAGTTGTGGTTGAGTAAATAAAATATGACCTTTTCTGAATCTAATTTCTTTAATTGCGCGCGTATAATAGATTACACGGCCAAATTAACATCGGAAATATTCGTTCGTTTACAAAAAAAAAAATGGTTTGTTGTTTTGTTTCGAATAAAGACAATTCTGCCCCGCTGCTGGGAAGCATGTAGTAAAACATGCTTTGCTTAGTGTTTTCGTCCAGACCATTTCTTATTTCACTAGGCCTATACAACTAGAAACAAGCACATATTGATTGATTACCTGCTGTATTTGTGAACCTCTGCATTGAAATCCAAGGCAATGAATGTAGGAATTATACAAATATTCAATATTTAGAATTTTTCCTTCGCTTTTTTAGTTGCAGGTTGCTCTCTGCGGACTGTGGAGCTGGAGACACGCGGCTGTGTTTTGTGGTTGTTGGCCATGCCCTCTGACTTAATTTTCTAGGGTTAAAGGGTCCTCAATTTGCATACTGAACAATCCCACAGTTCAAGCAATAAACTTTAAATTGGCTGTTGCATCATGAATGATCTTGTCATAAAAAACAAATACGCGTGAATACTTTACTAAACCACATTTGTGTTTTGAGAATAGTTTTAAAACGTTTAAAATGATTTCATAATTGTGTATAAATTGCTTTATTTAGTTTAGAGTTTTTCTTCTAGGGTGAGTAAGAACGCACTGAATTCTAGTTCTGGATTGGTGCCGTCATTTCAAACCAAATAAATATGTCATCCTTGTGATTTTAGCATGAACTATCATCCCAAGCGAAATTGTTCAACCTGAGCGTCCGATTCTGACGCATTGCATGTCAAACCGAGCTCTCAAGTTCGTGTAAAAAGAAACCTCCGATGTTTTGCCACTTACCATAATGCGAAAGCTTAGATAGATTGACGTAAAAAAAAAAAAAAAAGCTGACGCCACTTGGAGGCTCAAAATGATACAAATCTGCGAGCGTAGCCGTTCTGATGGCATTCTTTGCGCATCTTTTGCTCCATGAGTATTTTCTTCAATTACTAGGATGTCAATGGCTCGTTTGGCTCGTCGCTCCGCCCCCCGTGCTTGTCGTAAAGCCGCAGTCTGACGGGAATAAGGCAGAAATAAGAGCGTCCAGGACTCGTCTCTTTCTCCAGGACGCACACACTCGGACATCGGAGAACGCGGTTACGCACGGCGGACACTTGGCGTCTGGCGGCAGCGCGCGCATCCACGGGCTTGTGGCAGCTTCAGCAAACTCGCTCGCGGGCTGAACCATGTCCTTGAGCCCCAAACACTCAACGCCTTTCTCAGTGAGCGATATTTTGAGCCCGATCGAGGAGACCTTCAAGAAGTTTGCAGCCATGGAGAGCAGCGCGTGCCTGGCGTCTCCTCTGTACAGACAGACTCAGGTGTCTCAGGCGAACCTGCAGCAGCACAGCATGAGCCATAACACCTACCACATGCCGCACTCGCAGTTCTCGCACAGCGCCATGGGAGGATACTGCAACGGGACTATCGGCACCATGGGAGACCTGCCGTCCTATCAGGAGAGCATGAGGAACGGCGCGACGGCCACGGCTTGGTACGGCTCGAACCCAGAGCCCAGGTACCCAACAAGTGAGTCCGATCAACAGAATCATCCTGCATGCCTCGACGGATCAATATCCGTAACAAGGTCATGTTATTAAGGCTTTTGTCATTTAGAACCGCAAAGATTTCTGTAATTCTCTCGTTTTCCAAGAAATCAATTAGCCATTTGTTTACACACTGTCAAGCTGTCATATTATATAGAGACGTATGGAATTTGTTCTGAATATATTTCTTTCTTTAGAATACATAACATGAATATCAGAAGCCTGCGCATTTAATATAATTATGAAATATTAGTGTAAATTAATAGGCCAATCTATCTATATATCTATAGAGACCGTAAAAAATATAAGTAAATAAAACGGATTATTTCAGTAGCTATACGTTTTACAAGAACGTATTTAATGCGTTTATTTCGGCCTCAAACTTTCATGTTTAATTCAATGTTACTCGCTGTTTTCTTTCACTATTTGAGAAATGTATTGCAATTTCTAAATGAAAATTGTTTCTAAGTAAATCCTGCACCATTTTTTAGTGTTGAAAGAATTTCATTTAATTATTTTCTCTTTTCGGTTTTGGATTTTAAATCATTTTTGTTTAATTCTCATCTTCATTCGATTTAATTTATAATAGGCCTAGCCTATGTGAACGTTTTTGAACTTTTTCTGTAAAAAAACTGTCAACAATATATAATCGGTTATGGGCTATAAATGTAATATTATTTATTTTTATATTAAATGAAATTAAGTTTCATACCAAATACAACGAAAACACATTCCAGAAACACTCTTTACTCAGAAAGTGCTAGTATATTTCACAAATAAACGGCAAGTAACACATTGAATTAAACGTGACATTTTGAAAAAAAAAAAAAAAGTTGTATTATTTTCTTGTAAAACGCTTTTACAATTTTTTTTTTAGTGTTAGGCTTCCAAACACTGCATAAGGTTTTGAAACTACGCATCTTTGATGTTAAAAGTGACATTTTGAAAAAAAAAAAAAAAGTTGTATTATTTTCTTGTAAAACGCTTTTACAATTTTTTTTTTTTAGTGTTAGGCTTCCAAACACTGCATAAGGTTTTGAAACTACGCATCTTTGATGTTAAATTTAATTAGCCTGTTCTCTCAAGTCTCCAGGTTTATGGGCCCCTCGGCGGGCATGAACATGGGAACATTACCGGGCATGGATGCAAGTAAATCTATGGTGACTTTACACGCGGCGCCGCGGAGGAAACGGCGCGTGCTCTTCTCTCAGGCGCAGGTGTATGAGCTGGAGCGCCGCTTTAAGCAGCAGAAGTATCTGTCGGCGCCGGAGAGGGAACATTTGGCCAGCATGATTCACCTGACCCCGACCCAGGTCAAGATCTGGTTCCAGAATCACAGGTATAAAATGAAACGCCAGGCGAAGGATAAAGCGTCGCAGCCGCAGCAGCAGGACAGCGGAAGCCTGTGCGCGCAGCAGTCGCCGCGGCGCGTTGCAGTGCCGGTGTTGGTTAAAGACGGTAAACCGTGTCAGAACGGCTCCAGCACGCCGACGTCGGTCCATCAGCAGGTGCAGAGCGTGCTGGGCAGCGAGACTTTAGCTTCGGCCGAGGATCTGGAGGAGCTGTCGCCCAGTCCTCCTCTGATGAACAGCCTCTCTCAGACTGACGCCGCGCTCATCGAGTACACCAGCGGCATGGGGAGCTCCAACCTGCTGTACGGCAGAACGTGGTGATATTTCCGCCGGCGAGCATCAACACAGACGATTGAATTTCTTCATTTTTTTTAAAAACAGCATTCGTCTGATGCAGCGGTCTGCGGACCCTCACGTGAATTGTATGGATTGTAACTTTAAATCGTTGTTGAATGAAAACCTTTGGTGCGGATGAGGAGGAGTGTGTGCGATGAAGACTAGTCTAGCGTGATGCCATTAATCCGACATCAGTTTTGTTGCTTTGTAAAATACGAGCTGTAGATGAAATGTTTTGTGTACATATCTAACACTGGACAAAGAATGCTTTCTTGAAGTCTTTTGTAAGTTTAAAAAGAATCAAAATAAATATGAGTGCTGCAAAACTGAAAGAAACCACTTGAATTAAGTGTTAAATCTTTTTTGTTCCCCAATATTTTTTTTTACAGAGCAGCGATTATTATGCATTATAGGTCAAAAATACTAGCTTAATAGAAATAATAATAATAATAATAATAAAAAAATAGCATTATTTCTAGTAATTATAACTCGGACCAAGAAAATCTAAATGGTTAGACTAAATATACGCTAAAAAATTTTTTCGAAGTTGTAAATGAAACTATTTCAGTCTTTCTACTTCAGTTTAATTGTTTTACTTAATGCTTTTTTTTTGCAATTAATTGTGAAACTTTCTAGCATTTCTGACTACATTTAACTGTGCAAAAACGCTTGTTAGAGCTTATCCGAGGCGATTTACATTTTAAAAACTACAATACCAATATCTTTTCGTACTTTTATTTGCTATACATTTTGAAAGCGGTTATATTTTTTCTCATTTTTATCTCAATTCCCACTGAAAAGCCACAATTGATGTTAAAGATTATTATAATTTTTTTTTTTACCGTTCATGAAATGCATTTCTTTATGAAACATTTAATAAGAAACAGTTTGTTTTCCAAATTATTACATATACTTCAATCATTTGTGTTACTGACCTTTATTTTTGCATTGCTCAATCTTATTTTACATGATTTTAACGAAAAACTTGCCTAATAGATCAAAAATAAAACAAAAGCTTGTTAAAAATAGCAGATTTACTCATTTTCGTACATTTTAGTCCACTCTGTATTATTACCGTTTAATCCATTCATTAATTCAAGACTCATTTTAAACAGACTCAATGTCGATCTGCATCTATAATTGGCAAGAAATAAGCTATGAATATTCATTTAAAGATTAAAATAGACAATACAAAAACGGACTCTGCTCACCACAGCTATGAATTAGGAGTTTATAAATCGATCTGCATAAAAAAACTGGGTACCTAACCCATTCCTAACAAAACACACAAACAAAGAAAAAAGCAAAACTCCGCAGTCTTGTCTCTTATGTGTATTTCATAAGTTTTACAGGCATACTCTTAAAAATCAGTACATAAGAACATTTTGTAGGTAAAACAAGAAAAAAAACCTTTACAAATTAATAGCCCAAAAAAGACAATGTATGCTTGTTATAGAAAATAAGAAGCCTTCTTTCACATAAGGCTGAGCGTTCAGTTCCAGTTGTTGCGTCGTGATGGTGGAGGCAACCCATAACCCTGTAAAACAAGAAGAGCTTCCTATGAGCATGAGATTTTACACCTGTGTGTTTTCACTGAAATGAGGCGGCGGTCAGACCTGCTGTTGTCCTCCTCTGTGGCTGTCCTGCTGGTTTTGAGGGGGTCTCCATCCTCCTCGTCCTCTCTGCTGGTTCTGCTGGTACGCGGTGCTCTGGGACTGCATGGCCTGATCCCAACCGTGAGATCCATGCTGGAACCTGTGGAGATCAGAGCACTCGCTTCAGCAAACACAATGGTCACTTTAAACATTCACAGAAGAGAGAGAGAGAGAAAAAAAAAGTCTTCAGGAAGCTTCAGCAGGGAGAGGAAAAAAAATAAAAATATCAACCTGAGCAAGTAGCAAAAAATAGTTCCTGATAAAAAGCACAATTCCTATCGAATGAAATATTTTTAGAGCACATCTAGAAAACAATTCTTTAAATACATTTCCACATTGTTTGCCAGACATTCCAAGACTTACGGATTCATTTCCAGTCATTTGAGAGTACTGTGTAATGCTTAAAAAAAATAAAAAAAAATAATCTAACAGCATCTAATTTTTTATATCTTTTTATTCTAGTAGAAGAGAGAGAGAGAGAAAAAAAAAGTCTTCAGGAAGCTTCAGCAGGGAGAGGAAAAAAAATAAAAATATCAACCTGAGCAAGTAGCAAAAAATAGTTCCTGATAAAAAGCACAATTCCTATCGAATGAAATATTTTTAGAGCACATCTAGAAAACAATTCTTTAAATACATTTCCACATTGTTTGCCAGACATTCCAAGACTTACGGATTCATTTCCAGTCATTTGAGAGTACTGTGTAATGCTTAAAAAAAATAATCTAACAGCATCTAAATCTATCCAATATTTTATATCTTTTTATTCTAGTAAAAAAATAATAATAATCTAACAGCATCTAAATCTATCCAATATTTTATATCTTTTTATTCTAGTAAAAAAATAATAATAATCTAACAGCATCTAAATCTATCCAATATTTTATATCTTTTTATTCTAGTAAAAAAAAAATAAAAAAATTGTTATATTTAGCAAGGATGCAATACATTTATCAAAACTGACAGTAAAGACATTGTTACTAAAAATTTTCAATTTCAAATATTTTGTTTTAACATTATATTCAAAGAATCCTGAAAAAAAATGTATCATGGTTTCCACAAAAATATGAAGCAGCACAACGGTTTTCAACACTCATAACGATCAGAAATGTTTCTTGAGCAGCAAATCAGCATATTTCTGAAGGATCACGTGAAATTGAAGACTGAAGTTATGATGCTAAAAATTCATCTTTGATCACATCAATAAATTACATATTCAAATATATTTAAAAAAAAAGTTAAAAAAAAAAGTTAATTTCACCGTTTTTTGATCAAATAAATGCACCCTTGTTGCGCAGAAGAGCCTTTTCAAAAATCTCACCGACCCTAACATTTTAAACAGTATGTATATTTAGCTAAATATATTTTCACAATTCATTAACCTCCATGACTTATTTGAGGCTTGAATTATCACATTTTTACCATTCCCTGATATTTTCTGGTTTTCCAAGACCACGGAAACCCTAATCTTTCATTTGATACCACAAAAATCTCCAATCCAGCAGTACAAATAATGAGATTTCAGCTCAAGTGGCTTTGAAATGCAAAGGCCAGCTCGTTCTATGATTCCCATTTCCCTCATCGCCATCAAAACTAGTCTAAAGTCTCCCGAATGCTCCAAATAACACGGCTGTAACCTGAGCTTGACCGTAAACCAGCTCACCTACCCAAACATCTATCGTTCTCTAAAGAAGAGAGCTGGACATCAGCATCCCTCATTACTGATGCAGCTCACAATCTTCCTGAGGAATCCATAATCCCTCCTCCAGGTTCCTTGTGCGTTTCATTCGGCTCCGTCCCGAACGGTTAAAGAAACTCTGCTCTAATAACTACTGACCTAAGGTGACACAGGGCCACAATGGGCTGCCGGGCCTAAAAAGTTGAACCAAAAGAAGCTGATTAGTCCCTGAAGTGGTCTGGAGCCAGAATCAATGGCGGCTCTGTGCGGCCCGCAGTGGCCCCCTGCGCACAAGAGACGGTGAAGCGCAACCGCATTAGTGCTGCCTCATTAAGCCCTGCAAACCTCTTTAAGAGAACATTTGTTTAGCACGCAGAGAAACTAATTCAGTCCGGCCCCCCCAGGAAGAACATCAATAACTTGTATCGTACACAGGAAGACCGCTAACACCGGGAGAGGAAAGGTAACTGGAGTCTGTTCAGTCACTTCAGAGTATTTCACAGACGAATCAGTAGATTATTCTAGTGTATCTGCAGGATTATTAAAATCAAATTTAAAGGAGTAGTTCACTTCCAGAACAAAAATTTACAGATAATGGACTTACTCCCTTGTCATCCACGATGTTCATGTCTTTCTTTCTTCAGTCATAAAGAAATTTAGTTTGAGGAAAACATTTCAGGGATTTTCTCCATATAGTGGACCTCTATGGTGCCCGCGAGTTTGAACTTCCAAAATGCGGTTTAAATGCAGCTTCAAACGGCTCTAAACGATCCCAGCCGAGGAAGAGGAGTCATATCTAGCGAAACGATCGGTCACTTTCTAAAACAAATTTACAATTTATTTCGTTTCGCTAGATAAGTCCCTTCTTCCTCGGCTGGGATCGCTTAGAGCCCTTTGAAGCTAGTGGTCGACCGATATATCGCCATGGCCGATATATCGGCCGATATTTGGCATTTTTAAAATATTGCCATCGGCCGATAAGTTTCTGTTTGGCTGATGCGTTCGAGGCAGGACTTTTTTTTTTGCCTGAGCACAGTGCTCACATTCTCCCTCTTGTTCGCGGTCTCGGTTCTGTCTAACAGTTCTGTCTAATACGGACAGAAATCAGTCTAATAATCAGATAAAATGGTTAAACAAAGGAATTAAAATGTATACAAAAAGTATTATAACGATTGCTTTTATATTATTAGTATTATTAGAAAGGCAAACATTATAATACTTTCTTGTTTGCCGTCAGCATTCAGCAAATACGCATTTATATCATTAAAACAAATCTTTGAATGACTAATGAACATTTAATTTCACAAAGCTTGCAGACTTAGTCGGATCCAGTTGTGAGATCTTGTGAAGTGTGCATTTGTGTCCTGCATGATCGCGTGTTCTCTGTGTGACGGTCGATCCGTGTGAATTGAATACGGACAGGTGGAAAGTTTAGCTTCACTGGAGATGCGCGATCGACAAACTTTAAACCCGTAATTTAAAATTATGCTACGCTTTATGCATTTGCCCACTGCCATATTCATGTAATTTCCACTGTGTGCTGTATGTAAAATTAGCGTTACCTTGGGTTTATTTGAAAAAAATATGATTCCCAATGCACACAAACTTCCCAGAATACTGAGTGCCCTGTTGGTTACAGTGTTTATTAAATATTTATGAAAAATACTTTGTT